TTGGACGGATACATAGCGTACTTGCAGCGCAGATGCAACGCACGCTGAACGGCGAGCGGCGGAAATGCGGCGGGAATACACTCAGAAGTGCGTCAAGCATGCGGTCGGCATAATTCGGGTGCGTCCGGAATACGCTCGGCATGCGCACTGCAGATAAGTCAAAGTGATCAAAACATTCGCAGCCCGAAAAATAATGTTGTGCACTGCATACGCAACTCATACGCATCTCATACGCAATGGATGCGCTGAATTCGTTACTTGTACGCTAGATGTGCGCTGCACATAAGTCAAAGTGATCAAAACATTTCGACGTTAATTGAGCGTACGGCTGCATATTGAATTTTTTTGATAAGGAACTCATAAGGAATTAGGATACGCAAAGGTGTGACAGGGGCTTAAATATAACTGGTTTTCCCCTTGCGCCCGGATGATGGCCGTGGCCGCAAACGCGCTTTCCGCTAATCCCCCCACCGGTATGCATGTAGTCGTGCTTCAATGCGGGAACGCGCTGCGTTCGCCCAATAGATGGTAGCGGACTTAGGCCGCTGTGCAGCCATGCGTGTAAGCTGGGCATTGGCTTCCAGTCCGCAAGGGGGAGTTCACGCTGACCCATCTCAAAACTAACAAATCAAAACAAATGATCCAACAAATTCAAGCTAAAAACAAATAATACACAATTTTCACATCACCTTGAGTTTATGTGTCCGTCGATACTTAACGTAAAGGCCATAGGCCAGTACTCTCAGCGTAGTTTCAGTTGACTGTCTCTGGTGGATCACGTTTAGAGCAGCTTCCTCTAATTTTCCCAAATCTCCCGTCAGCTGCAGCAAGCGCCGTTCTACAGAATAACGTAAAATGGGAAATCTTCAAGTAATAAATTCCCGTCCACGTTACCTTAATTAATGGTGACAGTTATGCAACAAAATTTGTTTTTGCTGTGATTTTCAGACATGAATGAAATTGGGTTTAGTATTTTCGTTTCACTGAACTTCTTAAAGTATTGTGTTCATAGAGGCTGAAAAAAAATGCTGTTCTCGTAGTTTGGTTCCCTGACCCTACTTTGGACGAAACGGAGCAATTTATAGGCGTAAGGGAACTTTCAAGTCGAGGAATCAACCAGACTAGCTACAAACACCCGTTCACGGATATGTAATCGATTGTAAACAGCACGCCGACTAACTAGGAATGATTGATCGAAGATTACTTATCAGACTCACCAGCAATAACATTTGTCATTGTGGCCATCCCTTGAGTTAGTTTTCTTTCATGACGAAATCTCGTAGTTTGCTTGTTGGGTCATTGGCTTGGATGCTCGTTTGGACCAGTCCATCGGGTATCAAACTCAAATCTGCTTCAAGAATTTTGCTTCAGCTTTTGGATTGAAACGATATTTATACGCTGAGGTTACTCAGAGGTTTGAACTCAGTGTAACTGTAGAGTTTCGTTCACGCGCACTGCTGCGGTCAGTGTTTCGGTTTGCCAGTTGTAGAGTCTCATCTACGGAAGCGCAACTGGTTTTAACTGGTGTGATAAAATTTGCTGCAAGGTACTTTACAATTTTACCAAGAGCTAATCTGTGAACTGTGCGATTGAGTATGATGTACAATTGCTGTCTACTGTGACCGTGGGTGTGAAATGCCTGGAATGAACTGAGGTGATGGAGCAGCGTCTACAGAGCGCAACAGCATCAGAGATGATGTCATGCATCCAAAAATAGTCAGCCTAAACTTGAAGCAGTTCTTCATTACTCACTGGGGCAGATATAGCAACGAATAACGCAGGCCCTGTAGTTAAGATTGCCTAGATGACCTCAATGGTATATCTTTAACCAGTCTAAATGTGTTGCTCACTTGCCATGGGGAAAACCTAGATTTATTGCGAAACACGGAAGCATTGTGAACCCACAGTACACGTCAACACAAAGAGTTTATTGTCAATCAGAGCTACACGATATAGCTGAATGCGTTCATCATTATGACCAAAACTCCATAATACACAAAACGGTGTTTGGAGATATAAAGCATCCCGTCATGTTCTAAAATTACCCTATACGCAAATTTCTGACGTCACCTCACTTTTGTTTGCGCTGCGAATTTGGAAAGTTCAAAAACACGTTTCAACTCCTGCGAATTTTGCAGCAAGTGTGTCCTGACGTCAGATCGGATATTCGCATTCATCTTCGCGTCGCGAAACATTCGATGCGAAATTGTCCGGAGTTAAAATACACTTATGCAACCACCATGCCAAGTCAGAATTCACAGTCAGTCTGTCAGTCTGTTAGTCTGTCAGACAGTCAGTCTTGGAGTTAGTCTTGGAGTAAGCAGTCAGCTGGTCGGTCGGTCGTTCGGTCGGAGGGTCGGTGGGTGGGTCTGTCGATGGGTTGTTGGGTGATGGGTGGGTTGGTCGGTCGGTCTGTCAAAAAGTCAGTGAACTGTTGTACAAAGCTGTACTGCCTCGTGACGCATTATCTGTACAGTAGCTAGCACAATAATTTAAGGGGGCCTTCGTCATAGAATTGCTAGCTGTGTCCGGATGCATCTGAAATGGACTCTTTTTGGAGCCTTTTATAATCATCCAGTCATAATCTAGTCTATGTAATAGACCATGGCGAAAGCCAAGACCTGTTATTTTTAAGCACATTCCTTGAATAATTATGCAAGACAACCGCATATTGACCTCTAGATTTTGACCAATCAGCGAGCGCTCTCTACGTTGGGTCTTTGGTCATTCACCAGTTGTCGCGTTATAGACTAGTCCAAGTATTACCCGTTATCCAGGGAGCCAAATCCTGTATAACGTCAGATATGTCTAAACATGCAGATATATGCAAGCCGCGCGCCAGCCAATCGGAGTCGACTTTAGTAAATCGTGACGTAATTTCATTCCTAAATCAGGACAAAATGGTTTGATCAGTCAAATCGAATGCAGTGTTTTGTAATACAACAACAGCCGGGCGCGATATCGCGTAACAATATACAGAGTGCGTAACATGTTTTTTTTTTATACATCGTCCATGACGTGAAACGGGTGAATGACAGAAAACCCGATATACAAAGCGCCCCTGATTGGTCAAAATCTAGGAGGTCAAGAGGCAGGGTCTTGATTAATTAATCAGCGAATCTGTTGACGCATAATCGACAAAAGGATTTAAAAAAAAACCTAGATAAAGCGAAAAAAGGCTGCGTCACGTGCTCTGTATTAAGTTACGCGATTTGTGATCAGCTGTTGCTGTATTACAAAAATACTGCATTCGAATTAATCAATCAAATAACTGTTAGTCATGATTTGGGAATGAAATGACTTCACGATTTAGTAAAGTCGACTCCGATTGTCCGAGTCCAAAGATCGCATAATTTTGAATGACATATATCAGACATGAAACGGAGACTGTCTCAGTGGATAAGGGGTGATACTCAGACTTTTCATGATCCGCCGTCGGCACTGTTTTTTTCAGGGAACGCGAACATATAGCTCTGTGTCAGACTAATAGCGCGCGATCCGGACATAGGCTCTATGTAAATACTGCTTATTTAGTGAGTATCTTTTATTCAGTTAGCGGGAAGGTTCGACCATTTTATACATTGTATAAATTGCTACATACGCTGTATAAACGGTTACAGCCATATAGTCCGAAGGTTCAATAGTCCGAAGGTTCGATAGTCCAAAGGGCCCATTAGTCCGAAAACAGAACAAGGTTAATTAATCTGAAGGTCCGATAGTCCGAATATACGATAGGGTTCGAAAGTCCGAATCGACAATAAGGTTCAAAAGTCCGAAAAGAAGATAAGGTTCGATAGTCCGAATATACGGTAGGGTTCGATAGTCCGAATTGACAATAAGGTTCGATAGTCCGAATGGGCAATACGGTTCGTCAGTATGACACTTCGGACTATCGGACCTTACTTTTGATTCGGACTATCGGACCGTTTTGTCGATTCGGACTATCCGACCTTATTGTCGATTCGGACTATCGGACCTTATAGTATTTTCGGACTATCGAACCTTATAGTCAAATCGGAATAATAAACTTCGGACTGTTGAACCTTATTTTCGTTTCGGACTATTGAACCTTCGTACTGTTGAACCTTATTTTCCTTTCGGACTATTGAACCTTCGGACTGATTAACCTTGTTCTAAATTTGGACTTTCGAACCTTCGGATAAATGAACATTCGGACTGATGAACCTTCGGATTAATGAACCTTCGGACTATTGCATCAAATGTTCGGATTAACGAACCTTATTTCATTTTCGGACTAACGAACCCCCTCTTATGAGAATTCTGTGCATTCGGACTATCGAACCTTCGGACTAAAGAACCTATCGGACCTTTGGACTATCGGGCGGCCCCCGTATAAACGTTGTTGACACTATTGTAAGTTGTCTAGACAGGGACTGACGAAAGACTGAAGTCTGCGAGTGAGCATCAAAAAGTTTAATACTGATGTTGAAGCTAAATAATCAGTGTGTTTCATATTGCATGGAAATGGGTTCTTTGCGAATAATGTTTGGAGCAAACAAGGATAGGCGTGCGGACAACCCAGCCAGACGGAAAAGTGGGGTGATAGCATTGCGTTCCCATTATCCCTTTTTCTAAAGATTCTCTTCTGGGGTGATTTTTTTTTTTAATTGTAGCAATAGTAGGATAATGTGTTCTGAAAGGAACATCACCCCACAAATAGGGTATGGTTAGAACGTTAATAATGGTCTATAAACTGCCCCATGTGAAACTAAAAAAAAAAAACATTAACAACAATATATAGTCTTTGTGGCAGTATTCGTTTCTCTGGGTCCACCTGTATGTGGTGGCACTACCAAAATATCCAACGAACAAAATAAAATACATTTCAATTAGTCGGTACAAACTTTATTGCATGTATTATAAGACACATAAAATCAATGTTTGGATACAATGTTTTGAGACGAAAATGTCATGATAAACCTTTTGTATTTTGTATTGTTTTAAATGATTGATATCAGTCTACACATGTTTCGTTACAGTATGCACATACACCTGCATACGACTGCTGGAAACCGTTACAGACTTCAAACACTTCTGGTCGTGGGTGGATGATACAGAGCGACGCGACGGTGGCACAGTCTTAGCCTGGAAAGCTCTAGGCTCCATGAAGTCAGTCTTAGGAGGTCAAATGGAAGCAAAAGCTGAAGGTTTGATTCTTAATTAGTACAGTGGCTGTGAGGTCTGGACGTTTACCAAACATCTTTTGAAAAGGCTAGACTGGTTCTGCACCTAAATGATGAGAGTGTTAAAAATGGTTCACTGGTTAATGCACCTGACTAACCAGGACCTGTTTTGCGCACTACAAAAGATCAGTGACAAGATCAGGGCAAGGAGACTAAGATTTGCGGGCCACTGTCACAGGCATCGTTAGCTTGCTATCAGCAGCCTGGTGCTCTGGACTTCCTCCGTGGCAGACGATCTACAGGAGGATCAAATATCACATATGTGGGCAACGCTTGTCACGATACCGGCTTCCTTAAAGAAGAACTCTTGGCTAATATGGATAACAGGTAACAGTGGAGATCCATCATCCGGCAAATTTGGCCACATTTTAGTCAAATTTTAGTCAAATTGTTGGGGAAACTTCGTAAGTTTTAGTGATATTTTGAGAATTTTTACAAATTTCCAATGTTTTGCCCAAATTCCCAAGATCTTTTGAAAAACAAAAAACCAAAAACAGGCTCGCCACGTTACCAAGATTGTCTTATCACCGGTCTATAAAGCCATGCGACTTTGACATTGCAAAACACCTGACACTACACCTAATTCATAGGGTTAAAGTGCACAATGGAATCGAACTGAAACCTAACAGGTGGACTTCAAGTACCTTTTTTTTGCTGTGAGTCGTACGACCCAGGTTGGTACAGACGTACACTGCAAAAAAAGCACCACTATCAAGATAATTCTTGTTGGTGTGCGTCAACGGTTTAATAATTAAACAAGGCGAACACCACAATATTAGAGTATGTCCTGGTAAGTGTTTGTCAATATTCAAATTTAGTTTCACATATGGCAACCAAAATCAATGTCGAATAATTTATGGCCTTAAGAAAATCATGAATGTAAGGTACTCAATCTAAAAAGAGTCAGAGCAATGTATTCTTGAGTTACGAGCGTTTAAACAAAATTTACAAAATTGTATACTTCTATTGATTTAGTCCATGTGAACAGTTTGTAAAAGAACAGCGGTCTGTGATAATATTTCTTAAGCGGAAAACTTATCGAAAGATTATGGTTGTTTATCTCAACGTCAACGTCGTTTGTTACAGATAAATTTAGTGATGTCCCTGAAATTATTAGGTTAGGCAACCGTTCGACCAGTTTCAGTCCAATTTTCGGGCACCAATTCTTTGTCGAGGGGGGACCCAAGTATCATGATGTTTTTAGTGTTGATATGATTTTTCATGATATAAATTTGAAGCTGATCAATAGCGAGGTTTAGCAAGACTACTTGATGGTATCTGGGGGAAATGAGCACATATCCAAGATATAATCCATTTTTGGATCTTTCACTTTGTCCCCATAATTATCCAGTCACTAAAAATTCGTACTACGAGGCTGCATATCATGTGTGCAAAGCCTTTGGACGATTCGTCACTTCGTGGTGCACCCGAATATGCTTTAGAAAATTTTATTTAAGTAAGAGTAGTTGAGTACTAGTTTGATAATTAAAAAAGTAACACACAACTATATTGTACGACGGCTATTTAAGATGCAGTAAGGCACCCTTTCCCCAAACAAAGTTAGGTGGCAACCCTTCCAAATATCTCCTTTATGACTATAATGGTCTGTCTGCCAAGTTTGATGCTTTCGACCAGTCAGTTACGAAATTGTAAAAAGTTGGATCTAAACCACTAGACTATGACATACGTGTTCTACCAAGGAAATATTGACCAGCAGTGCACTGGTACATTGGAACAAAACTAACTGCCACGTGTACAAATAAGCACCATATGTTCCAGCCGCGGCATGCGTCGGACACAAGCATTATGAGGCGGGGTCGTCAAAGGTTCAACGTAGAGCTTCTACCATATATATATGATATCTAGCAAGTACCATTGCCCTGCCGCATGCTGTTTATGTTTGGCAAGTCTCCAAAAAACCTTGCCTTTGCAAATTGTAGCTGCTATCATGCCCTTATTAGGGAATAATGCTATTGATAGTCAAATTACGCAAAACTGTTGTCAGACAGCGAACGGAATCGCTCCATCAAACGCGAGGAGGAGGGGCCTGTGATGCATTTTTGTTGAGGCTCTGGGTCTTGGCGAAAAAATATCACGCCACTAGTTTACGATTACAGTTTATAAGAGCTCGCAAAGCCAGTAGCGCGTCACATTCGAGATTTACCCCCGACGGAAGCCGCTACCTTTCATGGATGCATGGGCATCGCAAAACCCGCCGGGTGGTTTTAAGTTGCAAAGGACAGGAGAGACATAGAAGTTTGTTTTGGGATCAAGTCAACGCTGGTTGAGACCAGTCACTGAAGGATTCGGGATTCGTTTGGGAAGGGCTGACATCCTGCTAATACAAGTACGTACATAAAACACATGACATTCTTAATGCCGTATAACAAATGTTACTCTTATTACTAGTTTCAAACTTCCACCTACTAAGTGTAAACCCATGTCTACATGTAAACCCATGTCTATCGGTTTAGATCTGAGACTATCGAGACTTCATAGCTACACTTTTGCATATGTAACAAGGCTAATTTTGAACCGCCGAGTTATTCGGAGAATATATCCTTGTATTTAACCAGAACCATTGAAATACATGTACAACTGCAAATTCGAAGATGTTAATTGTGTATTCATAAATACCTCAGACAGTTTAGCCATTCCCATTGGTCGAGAGCCCGTCACGTGGCCGGTATTAAACGGATGATAAAGACATGGCTAGCTGGTCTTAAACACTTTTCCAGTGTCACAATAAAATGTGGACTCCTAAAAATCCAGTGCCTCTTATCGTTTCATTGGTTGAACGTTCACAATCCTCACGTAGGCATGCCCAACACAACCAGCGAGTCAGAATTTTATAGTTCTAAATTCAAAACGCAACGCGCCAGGTGCGTTCTGCGCGACATCGCATAGAACATGATACGCGCGCGTCAATCTCCATAAAAGGGTTGTTTTCATCTTACTCGCCAGCTGAACACTCCATTATTTTGCAGGAGGGATGATTCAAAAAGCATAGAGTGAATTTGTTGAACAAAATCGGGATGTTTTGAACGAATTGTATGATTTTTTTTTTACCGAAAAGGTATTTATGAATGGGAATAAATATGTACTCCGTCGGTATTTATCACTCTGTTTAATACCACTTAGAGTCTGGTGCTGATAATTACCCTCCTTCCGGCTCGGGTAATTATCAGCACCCAGACTCTAAGTGGTATTAAACAGAGTGATAAAAACCTCCGGAGCACACATTCATTCCCTTATTAATATATGGAACAGTCACTATCTATTTATAGAGAAAGTATCAGTATATTCTTAGAATGTATAACACATTGTTTTGGGAAAGGCTGCCTTTTCTAGGATTTGTTTGAAGGCGCGTAGTCAGGGATTTGTTTGCCCGTTTCAAAATGTAATAATCGTCCAGTTTTTGAAATTCATTTTTCGCCGTCCTGATTTGACTTCTATCGGCAACCCAATGTTTCTTTTTGTCAATAATATAATAACAGAGGTTGTCCCAAAATTCATATTCTAGTTGTAACAGTGAAGAAGAGTGTCGAGTAACCAGGCATGTCATCAGATTTTCTTGTAACGTTTGATTGATGGCGTTTGAATATTGACTGAAACAATATCAAGAGTTTTAGGTCAAAATCGAAGAATACATCGTTCGTACATGTCGACAGAACAATTTAGAATAAGGCAAAATGAATGCATTTTCTATATCCGATTTAAAAAATGTTTGCTCATAAAACTGTTCCCCTTCTTAAGTTTTGAGCCTCACTTTTTATGGTAAACAAAACTGTTTTTGATATAATTTGAGTACGTATTCCTGCGATCGACATTTTAAGTAAGGCAGTTTGGTTGAGGTCTAGTGCCATTACTCCCGATAAAAAAGACCCTTAGGCAATGATGTTTAGACGGCTTGTAAACTGTCGGTGACAAAAGAACTCAAGCGAAGTTAGATAAATTGTGTGGGAAAAGATTTCCACGAAAATGTGTATTTTCGTTATTGTATTGCCCTGTGAAAAAAATCGATTATCTTGAAATATTCAACGTGAAAGTGACACACGCACGATCGAAACCTGCTTAAAGGAGAAACATCACTACATTTTTCCCCCGAAACGAATTTCTTGCTGTTATAACATTTTCAGGGCTTGCTTATGACAATAATATTGGCTGAAAGTATATTCTATTACTAAAATTCCGCATGGTTTCCGAGGAAGCAGTCAGGTTCCCACCGCAAACTAGGCCTACTCTAAGCATACATTAAAATAGTGCAAGCTTATGGTCACCTTTTGTCCTGACTTCCCTACCCTGTCACCCCCTCAACAAACTCGCCCCCTGATCAACACTCGCCCGTCACTATTTTTTTTCCAGTTAAAAGAAAATATTCATGTAGCTTATTTGTTTCATGTCCATGAAATACCATTAGAAAGACAACCGTATCGCGGAACGTTTTTTTAGAAAAAAAAAACGGCTTTGGTACATGGAAACAGTGTGCGTTGCGCCGCTTACGGCGATGAAATTCGTTTTGTGTGTACTGCAGTAATGTGCAAGGAATGTTCGTTAAAATAATTTATATGACAGCAACTCCATAGCAACAATATTCACAGACTGGGGCCAGAGGCTATTATAAAACCGCAAATATACATCGGAAACTATTAATTCAGGACAGTATCGCGACCGTGGTCCCGTTTTCACGGGGTGGGATGGGGATATAGGCGCCTCGTTTTCTAGAGATTTAGTCTTATAAGCAAAAGTTTGGTCATATGAAATATGTTTTAGCCTTCGAATTCCAAACGGGGAACAAGAAGGATTAACAGAACTTGAGTGGGGGACGAGCCCCCCCCCTTCTTACTTACCCCGTTTATGGACAATTGTAGTTAAATAGTTTTGATAAATATATAGCTCTCACGTTATATTTTTGCCGGCAGTTGCTAAAGGTAGCCACTGAATGTCATATAAAATTCGTAAATACCATGTCAATCAAGTT